TAGCACCTGTTAGGGTCCCAACTATGGGCAAATAGTTAACCCCAAAACTGGGGTAAAAACATTATGAAAGTGTAAAAATAGGTTTTAATACCAGAAATACTTTGTAAAAAATTATTTCCAGCAATAAATTCTTGAAGAAAAAAATATGTCTATATTTCTGAGATGAGGTATTATGTACACTATTTACATTATTAGGACTATTGTCCTCATCATTGTCGCTATATTTATTACAACGTTTCTGCCGTTGTACGCTCCGGCCTTCTTCAGGTGGGTGGAATGTCGAACTGAACCCTTTATTTCGTTCACTGGGGTAGACTGTTCTAGTTCCATGTGCCATGTCTGATGGATGTCAGTTATCTCCTGTTAATTCCCCTCTCAAAGTTCTCCACCGCCTTAACCAGGTATTGTACACACACACTTTGGGTCCTATCACTGGATCTAACTAACGTCTTTATCCACTGTGACATGTGTTCTTGAGGACATCTGTGTATAAACTTCTGGGTATTATAAACCTAATGTCTTCAGTAACCATGTTTTACCAGTGCTCATATTGCAATTTTTGCTGTTATCAATGCATGTTTTTACCAGAGCTCATATTGCAATTTTTGTTTTTATTATCGCTTTTCTCTGGCAACTGCAGTGATGGACAAATCAGATTATACAAGAAAGCTGGAAGACCTCATTAGCAATGGTAGCTAGAGCAAAGTAAAATAGAATTCTACAATGAAAACGGAACGCAAACTGTCACAGATACTAATTAAGAACAAGGATCACTTCACACCTAAGTCGTATAGGCAGTTATCACGGCGTTACACCAAGCTACCTCACATATACGGTCTTCCTAAGACGGTATTTCGCTCAGGCCGATTGTTAGTTGCCAAGGTGCTGTGTGCCACCCTCTGAGTCGCTTCCTTGTAGATATAATTGACCCATTGATCGAAAAGTCTCCTTCATATGTTCAAAACTCCGCCAACTTCGTGGAAATAATCAAAGATGCCCCGATCCTATCCAACCAGATGGTGAGCTTAGACGTGGTGAGTTTGTTCACCAAGGTACCCACGGAGGAGGCACTCTCAGTAGTCAGAAACAGATTGACCTCTGACTCTTCCCTAGAAGAACGGACCAGTATTCCAATAGATAATCTGATGGAGATGTTGACTTTCTGTACACAAACAACACACTTCAGAATGGGATCACACATATATCGACAGAATGAGGGCTTAGTAATGGGCTCACCATTATCACCAGCAATGGCGAATATATACATGGAATACTTTGAAGAAATGACATTAGAATCTATATCTCTAAAGCCAACTCTATGGTTAAGATACGTAGATGACACCTTAATACTCTGGCCACATCAAGGAAGATGTTCAGGTTCTACTGGACCATGTGAATTCAATAAGACCTTCGATACAGTTCACGGTGGAGAAAGAAAGTAACAATACACTCCCATTCCTGGATGTTCTAATATCTCGAACAGATCATGGGTTCAAGACATCTGTATAACGTAAACTGACATTCACCGGACAGTACCTCAATTTCAACTCCCACCATCCATACAGCGTAAAGAAAGGGATCGTCCGCTGCTTACAACACCGGGCAAAAGTCATAAGTGGCGACCCAGAGATATTAGATAAAGAATTGGTTTGTATAAGTCGTACCCTACAACGTAACAATTACCCTGGGTACATGGCAGCAAGCCCCCAAAACTGGAATAGGCAGGTACAAGAGGAGGACAACAACACTCAGAAAACAGTCTGCCTGCCTTATGTGAAGGGGTTATGAGAGAAAATAAAGGATCCGCGGTCCATATAACATCAGGACAACCTTCAGAAACTGGACGGCACTTCGAAGATATCTCTCCCGAGTAAGACCCCCCCCCATAGAGGAGAACATGACTAAAGACTGTGTGCACGCTATCCCGTGCAGTTGCGGAAAGAAATCTACAGGGGAGATAGGCTGCCCCCTTCAAGAACACCAGAAAACTGTAACACGAGGGGAAGTGAAAAAATCAGGCGTGGCTGACTACACATGGAGAGAAAAGGGAGATCACCGCCCTCTGTGGGATCAGGTTGAGATCATAGACAAAGAACATCATTGGAAAATTCGTAAACTTAAGGAATCAGCACATATTCTAGGCCAAAAAAATCTCCTGAGCCGATCAAGCATAGAAATGAATACAATATGGGAACCAGTAATAAGGAGTGCCAAAGAAAAGCGATAATAACAACAAAAATTGCAATATGAGCTCTGGTAAAAACATGTAATGATAATAGCAAAAATTCTAATATGAGCACTGGTAAAAAAAGTATTGCTGAAGACTTTAGGTTTAAAATACCCAGAAGTTCATACACAGATGTCCTCAATGACACATGACACAGTTGATAAAGGCATTAGTTAGATCCAGTGACAGGACCTAAAGAGTGCGAGTTCAATACCTGGTTAAGGCGGTGGAGAAATTGGAGAGGGGAATTAACAGGAGATAACTGAGATCTATTAGACATGGCACGTGCAACTAGAACAGTCTACCCCAGTGAGCGAAATAAAGGGTTCAGTTCGACATTCCAACCACCTGAAGAGGGCCGGAGCGTACAACGTTGTAATAAATATGGCAGCAAAGATGAAAACAATAGTCCGAATAATGTAAATAGTGAAAAAAATATTACCGGCAATATATTTTTGAGAAAAATAATATTACCAGTAATATTTTTTGGAAAAAAAATATTACCAGTAATATTTTTTACAAAAAATATTACCAGCAATATATTTTTGAAAATGATTTATTGAAAAATGGTTCAAATATATATGTATACATAGACACCTTTTTTACCAAAATATCGCTATGAATCTATTTTAAAAATTTTGTTGGCATTAAATGACGCACTGAGGTTGATATGCGATAAAACATAACAACCAACTAACCAATCCACTTGTTTCAATCTTAGGTAGCAGCAATATTTTTTATGAAAAAGCTCACGGATGCGATGGCAAACTGGTATTGACCTATTAATAGTCATCTCGAAGTAGATATTAGGATAGTCAGATAGATTTTGAGAGAGAGGGGGAAATAGAAAGAAGGAAGATAATTAGAGTGATATTTGGCGAGAAAAAAAGCGAAGAGGAAGAGAGAGAGAGAAAGAGAAGGAATAATCAAATCGTCAAACAAGGAGAGGAAAGGAAGAAGCAGATGAATAAAGGAAAGAAAAAAGAAAGACTTGAGTCAACGAGAGGGAAAAGTAACCAGAGAGTGAGAGGAAAAGAAAAGTATGGAAAAGAAAGAAACTATATAGAAAGCGGGAGGTAGAGAGAAAGGAAAGTGGGGGGAATCGTGAGAGAGAGAGAATGAAGAAGTAGTGGAGAGAAAGAGAGAGAGAAGAATGAAGGCGAGGAAACATAGAGCGTGTAAATGAAGAGAGGGGTAAGAGAGAAAGAAAAAGGAAAGGGGGTAAGAGAAAGTTAAAAAAAATGGAAGATGAGAGATAGAAAGACGGAGAGGTGAGAGAAAATAGAAGTGGGGAGAGAGGGGAAAGAGAGAGAAGTGACAAAGAAGCGAAATGGAGGGAAGAGAAAAAGAAAGAGGTAGAGGAAGAAGATCGAATGTGATTGTGGAGATAAGAAAGAAAAAGAGAGAATGCGAAAGAGAGAAAACGTGGTAGAGGGAGAAAGAAAGAACGAAAGAACGAAAGAACGAAAGAAAGAAAGAAAGAAAGAAAGAAAGAAAGAAAGAAAGAAAGAAAGAAAGAAAGAAAGAAAGAAAGAAAGAAAGAAAGAAAAAGAAAGAAAGAAAGAAAGAAAGAAAAATGAATTATTAAAATTAGTCACTTTCGGCGGCCGTACCAAAATATAAATGATATTGCATACAGTGCGTGAGTTCGCGCATGCGCACAGTAAGATGATTTTTCTGAGAGTCTATCTTCAACTCAATCGCCGGGAGGTCAACGGAATTTACTTATATTTTATTCTATTTGAATTGGTACATGAATATGCAGAAGTAAAAATTGAATTTTACTTACCCGAGGTTCTCTTTCTCGTTGCAATTTCTTCTATGCACCGCGTCTCTTCAGGGCATAGGTGATCATGTCTCTCCACAACTTGCTATCCCTTGTGGGCAGTTTTTCTCCCTTTGATAAAGCTCCCGTCTGGCGTTTTCGCCATCCATGTCAGGTATGTGGCTTTCTGCCTTCCCCTGGCTCTCTTGCCCTCAATATCCCCCATGAGGCTTAAGTTCTCCAAGCTCTACTTCCTCATTAGTTCACCAAGAGTGTTCTTTTTGCTGCCACTTTCTTTAAGACTTTCTTGTTGCTTACTCGCTCCACCCATGGAATTCTCAGTATCCTTCTGTACAACCACATTTCTGCTGCCTCTAGTTTTCTTTCCTTGTCCTTAGGGAGATTGTTCAGCATTCACTGCCATATCAGAAGTCCTCCAGTACTATTTTCTTTGTTTCAAACGATTTTTTCCGTTTCTTAGCTCGTTGCTTAGCTTTTGGAAGGCATCTTTCGCTAGTCCAATGCGTGTTCGGATCTTGGTGTTGTATTTTCCATCCTCTGCTAAAACCCTGCCCAGATATTTGAACTTTTATTACCTGCTTGATATTTATATCTCCAATTCGTAACTCATATCTCGAGCCTTTTCTCTTTCTGATGACCATATTTTCTCTTTTCTTGCCGTCGGCAGTTAGTCCTTTCTTCTCGCTTTCTTCTATTGCCTTTTCTAAGCAATCCTGTAGTTTCCTTTCCGAGTCGGCCATCAGCACAGTGACATCGGCGTATCTTATATTGTTAAGATTACGGCCATCGATAATAAATCCTGGTAGGATCTCTAGTTCTTTTAGGATAGTGGCGCTGGAGGGGGGTGAATAAATCTGGCGAGAAGATGTATCCTTGTCTCACGCCCCTTTCTATTTATGTATAGCTGCTCAATTTATAACAAAAAAGCATATAGCTTTTCATATTCAAAGTCTAAAATATTACCCTTCCATTCTAGACAAGGCCGACTTACGGCTATATCACGTTGAAACACCGGTTCTCTTACGATGACTGATGTTAAGCAACGTTGAGCTTGGTCAGTACCTAAATGGGTGACCACTTGGGTAATACCAGGTGCTGTAAGCTTGGATGTGCAGAAAGTGTAACGGATAAGGGCAGGGAATCAGAAGTCAGAAAGCTGAGTTCCAATTCCAGTCGGATTTGTCATATTCACTTACGCAAAAATACCTTTAAGAAAAAGGTATGACTTCACCTCTTCTCCCCTCCAGCTATGGGTTAATTATTATTATTATTATTATTATTAAATGAAAATATTTTATGGCTTTAAAATAACCTGAAAATGGTTGATAAACCATAAAAAAAAATCAATCAATCACCCAATCCAGACAAGGATACACCCACCGGCAACAGTATATAAAAAATAAAATAAAATGATAAAATAAAAATATTCAGATACAATGTTTTCGGGCGGAGTAGAAATCAAATGAAAATATTATTTAGCTGAAACTTGTTAACCATAAGTCTGGTCGTTCATGAGAATTCACGGGGTTCCCAGATGCGCGAAAAACCTTATGTTGAAGGGGTTACCCGATCCCTAAAGCCTCCCTTCTCACTCTTAGGCTAACGTTTTCCACTTACATGAAATGGGAAGATTATATAGTGAATCAATAGCTAAGCCTACTGCTAGGAAAGTTAGTTCACTGTGTCGTGTTAGACAATTTTTGTCGTCCGATACGCACACTAATAAGTCTACCATTCGTACGTTCATCAAATATTTCTGCCACATATGTCTGGTTCTTCTGATATGTATCGAGAGATTCTTCATAAAATCCAAAGAAGAATGTGCAACATTATCGGTCCTGACCTGGCATCTCGGCTTCAGTTACTTTCCCACCGCCGTAACGTGGCTTCCCTTTGTCTTTTCTATAAATACTTTCACAGTAATTCTTCTGATGAACTTTCCACTTTTGTACCTCGACTTCAGTACTAGATTGGCGATTAGGTCTCATTACTTTATTGTTGAAATTGCTAAGTATAAGCCTAAGTTCTATGCTAACAGTTTCTTTTCTCGCACTTCTCACTTGTAGAACACTATTCTGGCTTTTTGCTTTCCTGTCAACTTTGATCTTCAAAAATTTAAATGCAACATCAATCGTCATTTTTAGTACCCTGGAATACTGCTGATTTAATGTCCTCCTCTCTCTCTCTCTCTCTCTCTCTCTCTCTCTCTCTCTCCATCGTTCTCTCAGTTTCTTTCACTTTAAGTAACCCTTTGAGTCTTAGTGACTGTATCGCCTTACTTGAGGTGTAATGATTAAAAATGAATTAAAAGTGTAGGTTTACTGATTCTTGTGATGTGCCAAAAAAGTCATATACCGCGCGAACTGGACATTTTCTGGATAGATCCATACGTAGAGCTCCACATTACAAATGGCCTCGTATCATATTTTGCCCTAATAAATCCCGTGTAACTAAATGAGACGAGACCATGCGTTGTTGTTTGCGGCCATAGCACAGAAAGCCAGGTAGATATTAGTTGACACATCACGCGACCTTGCGTTCATGCGTGGTTTGATAAGATACGATACAAAGACCTGTTTGAATAGCTTGGAAAACCTGATTTATTTTGGGAAAGATATTAGAATAATTCAAAATGTGTATTGGGAACAAACCACCAGGATACGAATAGAAACTGAATTTAGCAAATACGCAGATAACTGAATGGGATGCAAGACAAGGATGTGTTTTCTCATACGAATCCAAATGAATGTACACCTCTGCTTTATAAATTATGCAAACGCTTTTGGTAACGTACGTTTGGTTTGTTTTGTTTTATGGCATATCAATCTCAAGGGGTTATTTAATGCCAACAAGATTTTTATTGCTGTTAATATTTATTTCAAAAATATATTGCTGGTAATATTTTTTTAACAAAAATGTATTGCTGGTAATAATGTATTGCTGGTAAAAAATTTTCCTCAAAAATTCATTGCTGGTAATAATTTTTTACAAAAATGTATTGCTGGTATTAAAACCTATTTTTACACTTTCATAGTGTTTTGACCCCAGTTTGGGTGTTAGTTATTTGTCCATAGCTGGAACCCCTAACAGGTGCTACTTCCCAGGGTCAGGGTGGACCTGGGAACACCAGCAATTAAGAGGTGGTTCCACGCTCCTCAAAGCCTCCTGATCAGAGGCCTTGATGTTTGATGTAGTTTATCATCTTACCCAGGACGCGGTAACGTACGTTACAAATGACTTGTAGCTGGACAAATCATTGCCCGTCTCAAAAGAATTGTTAACGCAAAAAAAAAAAATAATAATTATCCTTACAGTTACAACTTTATAACAACGACAACGCAATTTAGTCTGTTGACTTCTGTCCGCATTAGCGATACTCCTGCATTTTATTCATACATACACAATATGGCCGACACGGCACTTCCGTGTCTGAAACAATAGCTGAAACGGTGCTTCCGTTTCCTTAGTTTCCGGCTACAACACTGACAATTCAAAATATGTTTCGGCAAATGGTTGATAAACCGTAAAAACAAATCAATCAGTTAATCAGTATTTCTTTCTGCTTCTTTTGCATTTAGTATGCCTTTTGAAAGATTCTACGTTATGGAGTAATGGATATCATCTCTGAATGAGAAATTGGAGAGCCGAGTTCGAATTCCAGTCGAGTTCGTTACATTCAAATACCTTTGGAGAAGGTATGAATTCATTTCTTCTCCCCACCTCTCCGCATCCCAGCTATGAGTTGAATAGTAGGACAGACTGGTTCGTATAGCCGTGGGTAGCAACCAGTCTACCCCAGTTAGAAATGGCAACCTATTGTAGGGAAAATCTTCTGCTTAGTCATGAACCCAAAGAGACATGATCGTCCCAAGCGTATATCATATACGATAGTTATCTTACTGATATCTTTTATTGTTAAAAAAAAAAAACATGAGTAAAAGTACGCTACAAAAAAAAAAAAAAAATCTGTGGGAACTGCTCGTTAACCTTGACATATTTGAGAAGGATATTAGAATAATCCAGACCCTATACTGGCAACTCACCGCCTACATACGGATAGAAAATGAATTCAATAAATATGCAAAAAGGGTTGTAAGACAACGATGCGTCTTCTCATCGGACTTATTCAACCTATACAGCGAGACAATTCTGAGAGATTTAGATGTCCTACCATGATTTATTATTGGTGGCCACAATCTTAGCAACATATGATATGCAGATAACACAGAAAAGAAGGGACAAGATTTACTACAGAAGGTAGAGAAGGAAAGCGAGAAGAAAGAACTAAACATCAATTTCAAGAAGATGGAATGGACGGTTTTAGCAAAAGGGAGATCTTAACAGGCAAATTACAAATCGGAGATATCAAAATCAAACAAGTACAACAATTCAAATATCCGGGAAATATTTTGACAGAAAAATCGACACTGAAATCCCAAGGCGCCTTCCAAAAGCTCAGCAAAGAAACAGGAAAACTTCGTTAGAAACAAAGAAAAGAGTACTGAACTGTTAGGTAATATCTGTTTCCCTATATGGCAGTGAATGCTGGACAATATTCTCAAAGATGAAGAAGAGACTTGAAGCAACAGAAATATGGTTCTACAGAAAGATGCTGAGAATACTATGGACGAAACATGAAAACAACAACGAATTTTTAGAGACACGGTGTTTGATAGCAGACAGAAAAGATAATGTACAGTTGTGAGCAAGAGGAAATGCCCAACATGCAAACTGTAAATTGGATATGTCAAAATCAAACAATAACAACTGTTTAAATATCTGGGAAGTGCTTTAACAGGGGACGGAAATTTTAACACTGAAATCTTAAGGCGTATTTAGATAACCAAAGATGAATGACAAGATGGTAATGGTTTGATTTTGTTTGTTTGTTTATCGGCTTATCAATTCCTTATGGGTCATTTAATGCCGAAATTTGATTTTCTTGTGAGCTTTTGTAATATTTTCTAAAAATATATTGCTGATAATATTTTTTTTTACTAAATTATTGTTATTGTTGTAATTGTTGTTTCAACATTTGAATTATGACAGATTTTAATTCTTCCATTTTTCTGTCGTCTGCTAAATAAATTTTAGAATATCTTTGCCTGGTTATTTAATTGTAGTCCTGCAAATATTTCGTAGTTTGTACATTCTGTCTTTTCTGTCTGCTATCAAACACTTACTTGTGTCTAAAAATTCGTTGTTGTTTTCAAGTTTCGTCCATAGTATTCTCAGCATCCTTCTGTAGAACCAAATTTCTGTTGCTTCAAGTCTCTTCTTCATCTTTGAGGATATTGTCCAGCATTTACTGCCATATAGGAAAACAAATATTACGTAACAGTCCAATACTCTTTTCTTTGTTTCTAACGAAGTTTTCCTGTTTCTTAATACTTTGCTATTGCTTTTGGAAGGCACTTTGGAATTTCAGTGTCGATTTTTCTGTCAAAACATTTCCCGGATATTCAAATTGTTGTACTTGTTTGATTTTGATATCTCCGATTTGTAATTTGCCTGTTGAGATCCCCCTTTTGCTAAAACCGCCCATATTGTCACTTTGGTGAAATGGTAAATATTTACTGAATATCCTGTTATTTTTCTCTTCGTGAGTTCAATGCGAATCCTCCTTCGCCATTTTTGGGTTTCGTCACACGTACATATTACGACTAATAACAGAAAGACTTCAATGTAAAGTATGCAATTACCAAACGCAGTTAAGTTTATTGTACAAAGGAAAAAAATGTCTGTTTAAAATATCCTTTAACTGCTTAAAATTTTACGTCCCGGGTACGAAAATAAATTTAACAGGTACAGAGTTTAAGAGACACAACAAGAAGTGCGCATGTCTCCAGTAGTCTAATTGAGTTTTGCTTTGCTGTTATAACCTTCCGTAATTAATGGTAAAGTGTGCTTGGTTTGCAAGCGGATTCCCTAGTATAAAAAGGAATACAGTCTCGTTTTCTGTAGGGAGGTAGGATTTCTTTATTAAGACTTTATAACTCCAGGCCGGCAGACATTAATTTAACTGTTTTAAAAACAGGGATATGAGCAGCTTTTTGTAACTCGTATTCTCCGTATAAAATTTGTCGTATATTCTGTTCCTCG